TCAAACGACGGGTTGCCTCCCGTAAGCGCTTCTTTTTGTGCGAGTCTTGAGTTAGACTCTCAACTTAATAAACTTCTAATAAACTCAATGCCAATCCATCTGTTGCATTGAATATATTTTTTGGACCAATTCGTAAAATTTGGCTCTTTGCTTCAAAAATTGGCCAAACGAGCTTGAATTCATGTAACCAAAGAATCTTGACAAGGGTTGGAACCGGTCGGGTACTAATCAGAAATGCATCATGCTTCAAAACATTTTCCAAAGTTGGAATCATCACCCCATGCTTCGAAACACAAACCGAAAGAACAGGGGGCCACATTGTGGTAATGGTCAAACCATGGCTTGGTTCCCACAACTCAGTTTGTTCTTGTTCTTCATTTGACCCTTCTGCTAGGAATCTTTCCAGCTCCTCCAAATCTCTTTTTGGATTAAATTCTTCATCTTTTAACTCTAGCTTTTGTAACTCAGATTGCACTTGTTTGTTAGGCAAGATGTTATCTAACCATCTTCCTAATTTCATCAAATCTTCATCTGAGTCATATTCCTCATCTTCTTGCTCAATTTCCTGTACTACTTCCTCAAGAAAAGCAACAAGAGCATCGAGATTTTGAAAATACATAATAATAAAACTTAAAGCAGAAAATTTGTAACTTTATATGAGAAAAATCTCACACAAAGGATCGATAACACTAGAAAATAAAATAACTATTAGAACCGTTCCCCGACAACGGCGCCAAAAACTTGATACGTGTGACTGTACTAGTTTTAATCCTACTAAGTTAAACACAAAGACAACCACACGAAAAGCAGTGTACCTATCGATTAGCAATTTAGTTCAGGTAAGTATGGTATCGAACATAAGGAACGGTAAACAAATAAAATAAATGCTAATATTATCTAAATAAAACAAGTAATAGAAAGGGGGTTTTCTCTAGTTTTGCAAGACTAGAAACTTAGTAATTAAATAACACCCAAACAAAAGACAATTAGCAACTAAGGGAACAAAAGACAACTAGATTCAATAAGATAAAGAGACTTCAGTTCAGATTTGATTCACTTATTTCAATGGTTGATTTCGTGGCAAGTGTAATGGATTAATATATCAATGATTACCGATTTCTAATTTGATTAGGTTCATGTTCAATATTACTAATCCTTTAGCAGACAAGTTAATTCAAACAGTGATCAAGTGATTAAATTAACAAGTTTCCTAGTGTTCAGTTCGAATCAAGTAAGACTTGTAATATTTGTTAACTAAATTTGTCAACTCAATCAAATCATATGTGGTTGTTCATCACACATGCTCACACATCAACTTACTTATTTCTAGTTAACACTAGGTTCATGTTCACTAATACTAGGCATACAATCTTATTTTCACAAAACTATATGATTCAAGCAATTAACAAGATGTTCATAAAACTCAATAAACTTGATTATTAACATAAAATAATTATCATTAACACATAAGTGTATTTAACAAGCTTAACAATATAAATAACCAAATCAAATCAATCCAACCCACTTAATCAAACCATAGTCATAAGATCATCCAGTCTTAACAGAAGTATGAAGCTTTTAGTTCATAACTACAGAAAATAGCATCCTAAAATCAAAATCTAATGATTCAAACATGGTTCACATGAAAGATTAAGATAAAAGTAATTTTTGTTTGCCTTTAATCTCTTTAAAATTGACTTCTAGGTTGAATTCTCGAAAACCACAGCTTTAAGAACCCTTCTGATCGTCAATGAGTCGCCAAAAGTCTCCAACATCAGTTAGGGTTTTGAATGAAAATGTTCTATATATAGATTCTGAAAACAGAGCCAACTCGTCGAGGTTTTTGGAAAAACTCGTCGAGTTTCTTACTGAAAACGCGTGCACGACAAGTCACGAATTCGTCGGAAATTTTTATCTCAACTCTTCGAGTTGATGGACCAACTCGTCAAGTTTTCTTTGAAATAAACATTTTCTCAAAACATGAAACTCATCCAAAATTGTGTCTAGTTTTTAGAACATTTTGAATCTCGTCAATCGGAGTTACGAGTCATGAGATATGGCCAAAACACTGACGACGGGTCAAGCTGTCCAGCAACATCCTTCTTTCTTCAAAATCGAAGATCCAAGCTTCCAATCGCCAATTCCACTTCTTTTTTCTTCCCGAGCATCTCTTTGTTACTGAAAATGAAATTTCAAACTAATTAATCATCTTTTGTCCAATATTTGAGACAAAAACAACGAAAAGTATTAAGATAATGCATGAATTTTATAACTAAATATGCCTATATCACTTTTCCTTGTGGTTATTTAGATCTTTTTTGGGGCTATTTTGAGTGGTTTTGATCCAAGTTTCATGGTCCTTGGGAGTTGGACGTCGTAACTAAGTTTATACTTCAGATTTGAGGTCTAGAAGGATTTCCATGGCATAAAGGTGGCCACTTTATGGCCATGGAAGTCCCATGCAATCTCTAGACCATCATTTTGGTCCTTTGTAGCCTTTAGGGCCATGCATGTAGATAAAGTTCAAGGCTTTATGTGATTATTTGGACTTTAGAGTCCAGATCTATGATCTCATAATCTAGCTTTTAGGTTTGATGGTGTTTAGATTAAGACCTTGAGCTTTTTAGATTAGGGTTTGAGCTTAATCCTTTTAGAAGGGGTATCAAGGGGTAAAGTTGGAAACTTTACCCTTCTAGAGGCTTTTTCAGTTGGGATCTGAAGTTTAGGGTCCAGAACTAAAGGACAATGGCTTAATGATTTAAGAAAGTGTTAGCAGACTGGGGAACTCAACGAGTTCAAGGATGGACTTGACGGGTTGAAATGGAGTATCACGATTCTATAATAGGGAAGGACTCGACGAGTTCATGGAAGAACTCGACGAGTTGGAATGCGAAATCACGATTCTGTGATGTATAGCACGATTTTGTTATGTATAGCAACTCGCCGAGTTGGAGGATAACTCGACGAGTTGAATCAACCCGGAGCTTTGACTTTGACTTTGACTTGACTGAGACTTTGACCACAGTTAACCCTAAGGGATTATGAGCATGAGATGGTATCTAAAGGGATTGTTTTGATTCAGGTAGCATATAGAGCTGATTCCAGGTCAGAGACGTTTCAGCTATCATTCGAATTTGGAGGTGAGTTTCCTCCTGTATGAACGGGTCGAAGGCACCAATGTTGGCCTGTATATGTATGCTAGTATGTTCCGGTCTAAGGCCCGATGTCGGGCAATACCCGATGTAGATTTATATGCTTCCAGATTCCGATCTAATGTCGGGTAGTGCCCGAGGAATGTTTGTATGCTTGATGTCTTCGTGATTCTTGCATGTTTTTGTTTTGTATGTTACTGGACCTCGGTCCGATGTCGGGCAATGCCCGAGGAATGTTTATATATTTCCAGATTTCGGTCTGATGTCGGGTGGGGCCTGAGGAATGTTTATATGCTTATGTTATGTGATTATTTATGTGAGATTATCGATATGTTTATATGTATACCGAGCTTTGCTTGATATCGGGCGGGGCCCGATGCCAGAATTCGGTCCGATGTCGGGTGGGGCTCAGTGTCGGACATTGTCTAATATCGGGCGGGGCCCGATGAAGCAGGCAAGGCCCATGATATGTTATTATGTGATTATGTATATGGTATGTGGTAGTTTAGGGAGACTCACTAAGCTTCGTGCTTACAGTTTTCAGTTTTGGTTTCAGGTACTTCCGGTAGCAAGGGGAAGAACTCATAATGACTGGTGCACACACCATATATATATAAGTAAAATGTGTATTTGATATGTGTATTTCTATTTGGTATTTGGTATGTGTATATGTATGTAAAATATATATTTAGTATGTGCATATGTATGTATATGTATATTTGTTTTTGGTATATATATAGATAGATATATATATATATATATATATATAGATATATATATATATATATATACCAAAAACAAATATACATATACATACATATGCACATACTAAATATCTATTTTACATACATATACACATACCAAATACCAAATAGAAATACACATATCAAATACACATTTTACTTACTACTAATTGCATACCTCACCATAAAAACCTAAATCAATGAAAAATCATATACAAAAAAACATATGAACAACTTTTGATATATACTTTGACCACAAAAACCTAAATCAAATAAATTACATATGAACATATATATCCTTTCACCACAACCTAAATCAAGAAAAAATCATATAAAAAATATGATTAGCTTTTGACCCATTAAATATCAAATGCACAATCCACATTAACATATCCATTCCACAATCCACATTTAACATTGAACTCATAACCAAAAGAAATGTCTTGGAAGGGATTGAGGCTCGTCGAAGCTGCTGTTGACAGCGATGGTGTTGTGGTGGTGGAATTCACCGGAGACAGTGGTGTAGCAGGTCCGCCGAAAAACACCAAAAAAACGTTATTAAGGTAAAATATTGGCATCTTCTAAGAGAAGTGGAGAAGGGAACAGCAAACGCATGTTGGCAGGGGCGACAGGTGGTCACTGGCGCTGGCAGAATCATCGAAATTCGCCGGAAAATCGTCGGCCAACCAGCAGTCGCTGGTCACTGATGGTTCACATGGGTGTATTACCCCGGGAAATTGAACCATCGAGCGGTAAATAGCAGTCGTCGTCGGAATTTTGTGAGAGGGTTTTTTATGTGCAGCAAATGACTCGTCTAGGACGAAGGAGGACAAAAGGGGCTTACCTTTTAGCGACGACACCAGGGTAATAGCAGCAACAAATTAGAGGGAGACTTACGCTCCTTCTGCCGTGGTTAATTGAAATTTACGAACAATACTTAAATTTGATTAAAAAAAAATTGGAAACTAAGCTTTATTACTGTTGATGCTCTAAATAAAAAATTTATAAAAAAAATCGAACGAGGCAAAAATTAAAACTTTTTAGACAAATGGAAGTTAATTAATTATTTCATACATACTTGCAAAAATGATACTAAACAAGACATCATCTCCTGAAACTACAATTATGATCAGCCCTAAACCCTGCAACTCAAATCTAACCATGCATAAATGGCTAAAACACCCACATCAAACCGTGAGAGTTATGTGGTGTTTGATGTCACCAATTTGAAGAAGATAGCGACCCAAGGCAACCTTCCTCTTACCTTCTTCATCAGCCAAACTCAACTGCTTGCAAACATTCACCCTGAAGCTAAGGACAGTTCGCTGCCATGGCGCCAACCAAACCTTCTTGAAATCCACTAACTCCTTCTGAGGTGCATTAAAGACAGCCGGAGGAGAAGAGAATAGCAACACCGAATGACTTCCAGTCAATTTTCCGTCGTTTGTTACCATGACATCAATATTAAATTGTAAGCCCTTGCAAACACTATCTCCTGCGTCGATTGCATCACAGGTAGATGATGACCGACAAGAGTGAGCTTGGTTTAGAGGGATCTTCATGATACTAGGTGCTTTGATGAGTCGATAAACGTATGCAGAATAGCTTAATCCATACCCAAATTGATACACGGTTTCCCCTTTATAGAACCGGTAGGTTTGGCCTGGTTGGCCCGAAGCTGGGTCTGGTCTCATCTTGTTGTTGGTCATGGGAACAATGTCTACATAAGATCGTGGAAACCAAGTCATGGGTAGTCTTCCACCTGCAAATATATATGCAAAAAACCTCACATGAAAACTCTACAATGATTTAATATGTATATATAAGCAATGAATGATACGAACAAACTTACTTGGGTTAAAACCACCGAAAATGACATCAGCTAAAGCACCTCCACCTTCTTGGCCTGGAAACCCGACCCACAAAATGCTGGAGATTTTCTGGTCACACTTTGCGAAATTGAGATCCATTCCACCTCCAGACATTATAACAAGAATCACAGGTCCTTTAGCTGCATGTGCTACCTCGGAAACAAAAGAAGATTTTGTTGTCCAGGAAGGATTATCTCGGTCCGATCAAGAGCCTCATGCTCGATAGAAAGATCAGTACCCATCACAAGAACCACCGCGTCTGCTTCAGCTGCCACCTTATTAGCCTCCTCGACATTACTTGTTGAGTTACACTTTATATCACAGCCTTCCACGTATATAGTTTTAACGTACTCCGATAGCCCTTGGAGAGGACTAGTGTATTTGCATGGAACCCCTGCGTAGTTACCAATCATGGCTTTTGTGGCATTAGCATTAGGTCCAATTACTGCTAACGACGTCATCGCTCTTCGAGGGAGTGGTAAAGATCCAAAACTGTTTTTAAGCAACACAATTCCTTGTCTAGCAGTTTCACGAGCAAGTTCTTGAGTAGCCTGTGTGCAAACATCTTTCTTGCCTAATTTCCCATAGAATTGCTTGCGCGGGTCACCATCGAAGAACCCAAGTCTCATAAGTGTCACGAAATTGTTGGTAACAGCCCGATCCACTACGGATTCTTTCACCAGCCCCTTTTCTACTGCTTTTGCTGTGAAGTTCTTTAGTGACATCCCACAGTTGAGATCCAACCCTGCGTGTAATGCATCGGCTGTAACTTCCTCTGGTGTTTTTCTCCAATGTTGGTCTTCAAACATTAACTGTAATGAATCACAGTCGGAACTAATGTATCTGTAAAAAGGTATATTGCGTATTGTTTGATTTAATTACCATGGCTAGATTATTCTATACAACAAGAAAACAGTGCATTAATAGGATCAGAAAATGGATCTTTACCCATTTAATTTCCATTCACCTCGAACTGTATCTTCCAAAAGCTCCTTATCTGCGCAAGTCGGTTTACCATTCATCATGTTGTAAGAACACATAATACTCGCAACATTTCCATCGAAAACACAGCTTTTGAATGGGGCGTTATATGTATCCTCCAAATCTTGCTTTGTTACCTTCCAAAAAAAAAAGGCATCATATAATATGCACCCTTCAAGCTTATGATGTATAAAATTATATAGTAACGTTTTATACCATTTAACTAAACTTACGATAGCATCAAAATGAAACCGATCAACACTAGTCCAATTATCAAGATCATAGGCTGTGAAATGTTTGCAACAAGCCCCGACTTTGAGTCGTTCTCTATCACCATCCTCTCTCTCTTGTAAGCCTCTAACATAAGTTGCACCGAATCTGCTGGCTAGGACTGGATCCTCTCCTGGTGTTTCTTGCCCTCTTCCCCATCTTGGATCCCGGAAGATGTTTACATTGGGTGACCAAAATGTTAGTCCAGCTACACCGGTGTTGTACATTGCTCTAGCTTCGGTCGAAACCACCTGTGTTCATCAAGTTTTTACACTATATATGATCATAACGACCTTATAAGAATTGTAATGTCAGCCTCATATGCCCTTAATTATGATGGAGTCTACAACTATATACCTGTCCAATTTTATAGAATAAAGATTCGTTGAATGAGGCTGCAGTGAGTATGACTTGAGGGAAACTAGTGGCTCCGGGGATTACAGTCTTGTTGAACCAAGTTGCAGGTCCGGTGTCAGAAACGCCATGCAAAGCCTCCGACCACCACCCATAAGATGGTATGCCAAGGCGAAGGATGGGGTCGGCTACGCTCACTAGGCTTCCCGCCTTTTCTTGCAATGTCATCCTCTTTAGCAGATCAGCAACTCGTGTTTTAATATCAACTTTAGTATCACAGAAAGTGAAATTTTTTAAGTTTGGATTTTTATCGGTGGCGCATGCATAACGTGGGGTGTATTGGGCAAAAACTGTGATTCTACACGACAAGCAGATCAACAGAAAGAAAGTGACCACAAGAAAAGGAATGTGTGGTTTGTTCTGAGAAGCCATGGATCGTATTATTGGGAGAAAATAGGGACGAACCAATTAGTGTAAAATGGGAGAAATGGTTTTTATGGCCGAAGGTAATCTATATATAATCTTGAAGCATAGCAATTCAGTTGTAAGCTTAGCGAGTAAGCATGAGGTTTTGTGGTTGTCATTACTCTTGGGAGTATAATCAGAGATTTGAATACCAAGTTTTTTTCCTTTAAACGAGGGCTGGAGGTCTGACTAATCGTATGTGGAAGTGTAACCAGCAAACACATTCCTACCCGTCTTTGTCGTTACACTAGTTTACCAATATTCTTTCTAGTTTTAGACATGTTTAAATGATGTGTTGATTTATAACAAAAAATAGTAGGATACCTTTTAAAAAAATAAATTGTAACATGGTGTCTTTGAAGATGCGGGTGACCACATTGGGCGCATGTCGTGGAGGGGGTCAATTTTTACATATGACCGTTAGCTTTAGCTTATGATGTAGAGCGAAATGGATTAGGGGTAGAGCGAAATGGGGTAGGAATTTGATTTGGAACTTTTGGGTTGAAAACTCATTGTATTGTACCATGTAATTCCAACTTTTAGTTGTTTTAATTGAAGTCTAGCTGTTAAAAAAAATCCAAGTCCGAAAACAAAATTGATTCAAATATATAGTTACCAAGCCAAAGTCAGTACATATAAGTCACTAAGATGCAACTCCTCTTGAACTCGCTAAGTTGCTGAGGGTGTGTGTGTTTGATTATTGATTAACTGATTGATTCGTTATAATAGACTAGTAATCCAAGCCTGAAAACAAAATTGATTCAGATGTATAGTTATCAAGCCAAAGTTAGTACATAGATGTCACTAGGATGCTACTTCTTCTCTTGAACTCGCTAAGTCATTGAGGGTGTGTCTATTTGATTATTGATTAACTAATTGTTTCAAAATCAGGCGACCGTATTTGGTTTTTTACATTCAAAAAAATGAAGAAATTTGATGACAAACGATTAAATATTGACATCAATGAGCTTTATTTGCATGCCATGATTAATGATATTCGGTTGCCACAACTTCAATGTAATCGAAGCTTCGATCACTTATCTGATGTAAGTTCATCAATTACATAATAGCACATTTGATTTTCTCTTTCTCCTCCTCAAATATAACCTCTATATCATGTAATATTGTTTTCATGGATTTGAGACTGAGCTTCTAAGCACACTTCGTTCTACTAAAAGCTTTTGATACTTTACCAGTTTACCCTTCTAGAATATGATTGTGTTTAGAGATTTAGGAGGGCAGTTGGTGGAAGATGAAAAGCACGCAAGGAAGTCGAAGGACAATAACTTTAAGCATATGAAGTCTCCAGTGGATAGGCATTTAGGTGTTTACAACTTATTGGAAAAACAACAATTGTATTTGTAGCCCAATCCCAACAGCGAAACCCCTTAAAGGTTTAAACCATGTCAAGAAACTCAAAGAAAAAAAAACCCATTTTATTTGGGTTTAATGAGAAAATTATTTATAGAAACTCAAACATTTGTTAAGTTTTAATATCAATCCACATCACTTCAATGACATATAAGACTATGTCATATATCCCTTATAAAGGGGTGAAGGGATATAAGGTGGGAAGCAAACACAAGTTGGTACACCATACCGCATAGGGCAGCTCCTCCGCTCTTCTCCCCTGACTCGTCATGAACCGGACACTGTCATCTCTCCTCTTCTTTCTCTCTTTTGAACACACATACACACACACACACTCTCTCTCTCTCTCTCTCTCTCTCTCTCTCTCTCTCTCTCTCTCTCTCTCTCTCTCTCTCTCCTTTCCCACTACTCTTGCCCTCTTCTCCTTCTACATTATGCTACATATATATGGGCAATGCTCGTGAAAGATGAAAGGTAGATATAACATGGTTTGAAAGATGAACGAAGATAGTAATGTGGCACAGAATGGGTGAAAAATGAAAGATAAGTACAATAAATAGTACTTTAGGTTTATAGTTTAAACAATATATCTAGGTTTAGGGATATATAGATAGTTGGTTACCCATCTTTGAAAAAATTAAAAAAAAATGATTTCTTATATTTTTTTTCTATGAATAATCATTTTACTAAGAGATTTTTTTTACCAAAATAATAAAAAAAATAAAAAAAAATAATAATAAAAGTAAGTTGCACCCTCTTATCGACTCACGCTAAACCTGCAGAAAAACCGAAAAAAAAATGTGTGGACCATAATCCAATTCACCTAAATAATTAAGTATACTTAGATTGTATTTCATCATAAATCAAATAATATTTAGGTTTTATGGTACATCAATGGATGTTAGTTCTTAGCGAATCATGGAAGATACATGGTTAGAACTATATGTTTTATATCTGCTAGAGAATTGGGCGTTATCAATAGATCTAGCAGCGGATAAATTTTCCGCCCATTGTATTTAGGTAGTTTGAAATAGTCTTTTTTTAAACAGTTTTGAATCCATCAAAGGAAAACTTTGAGAAAAAATCCCATAAAAATATTAGGCCTTTACCAACAAAAATAAGTTGTTAAAGAATATACGAGGGCATCACAATAAATATAAGAAAGAAAATACCATTACATCGTCTAGAAATACTTTAGGAAGTTCATATAGTAATAATGTTTTTCATTGTCTTCTTCTACCCATTTGAGTTAATCACGTAGGCTAAATATGAATGCAACCTCTTAGCTAAATTTTTTGCCTTCAATGTGGCAATGATGACCAATTTTAATCTCTTCTTGTCCCCATAGATTACAATATGTTCTCCTTCCATAGTTTTAACTCTCATCATCTTCTGATTGCAAGTAATCTCTTTATGATTCTTACTTAGTCAATCTATCCCTAAAACTGTTGAACCTACTTAATTGCACTGGTAAAAAAATTCTTTGAATGTAACTCCAAAAAATTTTTACAAATACATTTTTATATTCTTTGCTAATTTTCTTCAGATTTCCATGGACGATTTCTACTAATAAGGTTATAGTAAGAACATGTATCGACAATCTAAGCCATTGACAAATCTAAAAAGATATGAAAGAGTAATTAGAACCTAAATCGAATGAAATGTTAGTAGGTACAGATTCAACTAAAAATATACTTGATATGATTTTCGCAATTTAACAAGTCTCCCCAACCATTGTTTAAAACCCACATACACACCATGGTTTTTGATGGATCATTTTTTTCTTTAGACAAATTTTAATGATGTGTCTGAATTTATTGCACTGAAAGCATGAACTTGTGTATGCCTCTTTTCATGACATTTGAAATAAGTAATTTATTATATCAACTTCCTTTCTCTACATGAAGTCTCAGCATTTCCTTTCCATCCCTTCAAATTCTTCTTTCTTCCAATTGGAATTATTGCTCATACTTCCCTCATTCTTCACATTTTCTCCATTGTCCCTCAAGATGAAGGATTTCACTATCCTCTTGACCATCGAATAGTGGCATGGATCTTAGTAATTTGTGAAGTTGTAGTTGATAATCCGAATGTAATCCCCACATAAATTAGCTAATATAATTCTTGTAATTATACTCATTTAATTTCTAAGATTCTACAACCCTTTGATGTTTAGTCATATGCGCAATGGGAGGGTTAAGTCCTTCTCCGGTGGAATAGGATGGAATCTCATTAGAGAGAACATTGGGAACATGAAGATTTGTTTAATAAAAACAACTTTTATTGTCAACTTCTAAAATCTGAACCTTTAAATTTCGTTGGTTTTTCTACATGTGATTTGATGATGAATTTTTGATCTATTTTTCACTTTTTATTTATGTCTTAGATTGTTACGACAGTAGTTAACAATCATGATTTTAAAAATAATAACTGTAACATCCCAAAAATCAAGCATAAAATTTCATTTTTATTATAGTCAAAACACTATTGTAACTTTGTCCAAACATTGAAAAGCATTTCAAATAAAACAATTATCAGAGTTTATTCCCAAATATCACATAATACGGAAAACATAGGTGTATGCGCTACTATCAATTCGGGCCCTTCCTTTTCGAATCGGAAGTACCTGAAACCATAAACCACAAACTATAAGCACGAAGCTTAGTGAGTTCCCTAAATACCACATACCAAACATAAAATATACATATAGTGGGCCCCGCCCAGTCATCGGACCCCGTCCGGCATCGGGCCCCGCCCGGTCATCGAGTTAAGCTCGGAAAGCATATAAACACATCCACATGCAATATACATACATAGCATACAAATAGTCATCGGGCCCTGCCCGGCATCGGACCTTAGCTCGGAAAGCACAAACACATACAAGAGTCATGAAGATAGCTAGCATACTAACATAGCATAAACATGGGCCGGCATTGGTGCCTTCGACCCGCTAAACCCCAATAAGGAAACTCACCTCGAGTGCAGAAGATCACTGAAAGAAATCTTTAGTTGCTGCTCAGACGACTTCCCGAGCTATCAATACCAAAATAACACCCAATTAGCAATTGGGTTCCAAACTATGATCTATAACCCATACTTGGGGTAAAGTGACCATTTTACCCCTAAAACAACAAGAATCAAAATTGAGGCCCAAGCCCAAAACCAAAAGATCCAAAAAGGCCCCCTAATGGCCCAATTTTCCAAATTGGGCCCAACTCCATATGGGCCTTATCCTAAGCCCCTAATTTCCTTAGAACAATTCAGATTACCTCAAGGACTCCCCTTAGGACAAACTTAGTCCAAGACAAAAGTCAAAAAGTCAAGATCAACAATCCATGTGACCCAACTCGCCGAGTTGACCAATACCTCGCCGAGTTTCTCCATCAACTTGAAACAGGGAAAACCAAGTCAACTCGCCAAGTTGACCAACAAACTCGCCGAGTTCGCCCAAGAACCAACATCTTAATGCATTAAGTTGCCTTTGTCGAATCCAAGAGCTCCAAACCTCAGATCTTGACCAAATTGAGATCACGAAGGGTAAAGTTTCCAACTTTACCCCTATGAACCACCTAAATGGGTCCAAACCCAAACCCTATACTTGAAATAGTGAGGGCTTAACCATTAAGCACTTAATCTTCAAAG